AAAGATATTTCCATGTACCTAAATGGGTTTATTTTTCAGGGGTTTAGAGTTAATCTATAATGTCTGTCAAAGCTGACCCTTTGCCCTCAGTATTTTACTTATTTCAGTATGTGAATATTCCCCTTCAGGAGAAGGACAAATATTAATTCACAGTCTGCTTAAATGCATTGAGTGGGAATAAGGTGTAGGTTCACAGGAATTCATAGCACTTTAATCGATGAGGTAGTGTGTGTTTTGTACTTCTAGTTGAAACCATTGTAAGTTTCCTTCATAAATTCCTTGTTTGAGTGGATTGGTGGTGCCTTTGTTTGTTTTGCTGTTTGCAGTGTTCTTAGCTCTTGCTGACAAGATACAGAATAATAGGATATAGTATGCAAGACAGTATCTTCTGATACTCCCTGGTGACACCTTGGTGTATTGACAGAACTGGTTGGTTTGTCTTTGTTAAGATCAAAGGGCAAGCTCACAATAACACAGCTGAGCTAAGAATTTAATGCTTTATTCTACCTAAAATACCTGCGCATTTGTCACTTCCTTTCCTTTTCTCAGATAAAAGACAATTCAAGCACCTTTAGACACTTGATAGAAACGTCACTGTTTAATTTTGGTGTGCCAACTTTCTAAAAGACCTACTTCTTAATACAAAGTATTTATTGAATAAAGGTAAATTCTTTAAGTATCACATATAAATCATTACATTTTATGCCATTTTAATTTAGAGATTTTGGGGTGTGTTTTGTAAGTTGCATAGTCTATACAAGAAGATTTCTAGGCATTTATATTATTTGGAAAGTGAGGCTTATAGTTGGAATGTATTTTACAAACACAACATACAGCTTCTCAACAGTATATAAATTCTGATCTGCAAGTTTGTAAAAATATCCAAATAAGGCAGGAGCCATGGGGTGAGAGTAATCACTATAAATGTTGGTTTCCTTTGGTGTGTTCTGTGAGTTACAAGCCATCCTTTTCATACATAGGTGTAGGTGAAAATTCTGGTGAATAACAATAATATCCCTATCTTGCTGGACTGCCCTTGGCTTTCTCGAATAAACATTTTCTCTGGCATCATTGTGAAGTAGAAGCCAGGCACATGCTGCAATAATTCTCTCAACTGACAGAATTACTGTATTACAGCCAGCCATTAAATAGCTGAATATTTGAAACCATGCAAAAGAATGTTACTACAACAAGGTTTTCATATTTAGGGAAAGTAAGGTTAAAAAGGCAAACAAACTAACCTTCATATTTTCTTCCAGTATAGGAGGAGGAAAATGAGAAAGTCATGGATCAAAATCCTACAGAGATTTTCTTTTGGATTGACCAACCTCAATAGAAGTGTAGGTAGTATTTAAAACAGTATGCATTTTCCTTACATCAGTTTCAAGAATTGATCTGGAAAGACCAAATCAACACTTGACCACTAAACAACTGCTGTTTGTACTGGTATTTTTCAAACATACCTTTTCATTGGAAGTCATCAGGAAAGTTCTCTTCTACCAGTTTGCTGTGTAAATTTTGAAGTGATACTTCTGTGAATTAAATTGATTGGAGTTTATTCACAAGTGGCGAGTACCTGACCGAATGCTAACATAGCTGTAGGAGGGAGTGGTTGATGGTAGTCTTGATGTAGTCTTTCACTGTGGCACTTCTCTTTTGTCCTGCAGTAGCAGCTCGTAGTTTGAAAATGGCATTTCACAAGCTTTGAAATGTGGTTCCTAAAATGCTGGGAGCAGTGAGGTGAGAACTGGGGAGCATAACTCCTTAAACCACAGATTCTGTTATTGTTCTGAGTGGATTAAAATCAATTAGTGAGCTAAAGCATCAAGATTAAGGAACCTTAATATGGAGAAAACAACGATTCGTGCTCCAGTACAAACTGGATGGATGTGGGGACATAATTACAGTGTACCACCAAAACTGCAACAGTTCACATGCCTCTGCTCCCTGGTAGCTTGGGTTTGCTCTTTTCCTTCTGGGGTAGGAGGTCTTAGAGGGTTCTGTGTTCAGTGTGGCAGGAAGGAATGGACCCACAGTAGAGTCACTGGAGTCTGTTGGGAGTGGATGTGGGAGAGCAGATAGGTCAAACTGTCCACAGATTTCAGCTGTGGCCCATAGAAAAATCACAGTTTTGTTGTGTCAGGCTTTTTGTGGTTTGAAAACCTTAGCTACTTTTTTGCTTTCAGCAGTTAAGCAAAGACTATTTTCAGCTACTTTGAAGTAGAAAACCTGGGGTGAGAGGGGTGGTCTTTGGTTTTAGTAGCTGAGAGAGCAGAACTCTGGTTCAACTTGCATTCTCCTTCATGGCTAGCTTCAGAAACAAAACCTTTTCTACTTCTGACTTAAGAATAGATTTTGAAGAAATGTGTGAGCAGTTCTTTGCTATATGGGTCAGAATTCATCAATAATTCTTTGAGCAGTCAGATCTTAAAACAGGAATAAAAGTTAAGTTGGTGGCAGTTCCATCTCCTGTGACCTAGAGGATGCCAAGGCATATGTTCTTTTGGAGTGCAGTGAATGGCTTCTGACTAAACTTCTTCCCCCTAAAAAAACTTCAGTTACTATTACTATTCTTTGGAGGGCTAAAATACGAAAAGGGCTATCAAAAGGACTCTGCATTTCCTTGACATTTGTGAGGGAGAAACACATAAAAAAAGCAAATGTTAGTTTACAAAAGTTGGTTAAGGCACTAAGATCAGCTATGTACTTGAAATTTCTTTACAGTTGACTATATTGTTAATTTTAAATTAGCAGCTATATTTTAATCTATTCCTAAACAAGGTTTTTGTTAAATATTCAATCAATTTATGTAAATGTCTTCAAGGAAATGTGTATTCTAACTGATGGAAGAAGTCTACAGTGTATTTTTTGTTTTAGAAGTGTTGGTTCCTTTTGGCTGAGTCCATTTTTCTATGCATATATTCTAGTCTGAATAAATCAAACTCTAAAAATGGCTTTAATCTTGTATTGACGGAAGATTTTCTTTGCAGTAATGCTAGATATTTTCTTTAAAATGTTTTTCAAGGGAATGCCCAGTGAGCAGGATTTCAGTGTGTGGAAGTTTTGAGTCATATTGCACAGCCAAAGAAGTTTTTGTACATAAAGCATACAGTTTCTTACATAGGCAGTGATTTGAACAGAGTTGAAGAAGCTAGATCCAGACTTTAACTGATATCAAGTAAATGATATTTTTTCATTCTCATCCTTGCTGATGTGACTTGTAAAGCAATTTACCATTTAGCTTCTTAAACACGACATTTCAAAAGCTCCTTTTAGCTCCAGAACTCTATATGTAAATGGATTTGTGAAAGTTGCTTGCAGTTTTATTTGATTTGGAGTTCTGTCCAGATTGATGGGTGCAAATTTTGTTTGCTTTTTGGGTTCCTGGCAAGATTTCTTTATGCATTGATTGTGAATTTCTAAGGTAGCAGTTGCAATTTTTCTGCAGTGCAGGTTTGACTGTAATAAGCTGTTTTGTACTGTCTGGGCAACTGGCCTGTCCTACTGTCTCAGTTGGGGCACATTCTAGAAGATTGTTTGGAAGTTTTTGGCAAAGGGCCTGGTGGTGTAAATTAGGCTTAACATTACTTAGCAAGAAATATGCAAATGCAGCCAGGACTGATGCTTCATTGTTTTTATATTGACATATATAGAAAGACAACAGAAGTCACAGTTAAATGATGAGGTTTGCTATGACAGAAGAAGGAGGAAAGATGTAGAGCTGCATTATTAGGCATGGTACTTTAAAGCAACAACTGGGTGTCCACCAGAAGACGTTTGATTGAGATACTGATTTTCACAGAGCTAGTCTAGAGCTGTTTAGCATTACAGCTAATGCTGTCAACAAAACTATGTCTAAAACAATGTTTGATGAAGAGGGTCAGGGTGGCCTCTCTTGAGTTAAGTCCAGGAAGTTAGAAGGTGAAATGAAACCTATGACTGCATAATTTAAAATTCTGAGCTACAGTCTTCACATAATCTGGCTTCAGTGCATTTTCCTGAATGGATAGTATTCGCAGGGTTAGACTTTTTTTTTTTTAAATTTTTCTTTTATTGTCTTTTTTAGCCTTTTCAAGCATGCAAAGAGACTAGATCAATAGGTTAATTTTTACCAAATGGAACAAATGCACATTAAGTTGCCTTGTGACTGTTTCATTTCTTTAGAGAATAAATGTGTCTCTGCAGGTTTTGCCTTTTTAATGTATTGTCCATCTACAAGAAAGATAAACTTTTATATTTAGCTATTATTATATTACTGTTACTGTTAGTTTTCTTTTTTTTACACACTCATGAGAGAAAATGTCAGCTTTTCATATAATTCAGATTTTAAAAACACATTTTTGTTCGTATCTATGCTTATTAAACAGACTTAATTTTTATAAACTCATGAAGAAATAGGTAAAAATTTTCAAGACATGGCTTTTTTTTTGACAAACAAAAAATTATGGTATGTTACTTATTGCAAAATAAATATAAGTAAATGAGTGGAAAGTGAACTGAAAAATTGGTCCACCATAGCATTTTTATTTAGATATAGAGTCTCTTAGTGTAAAATCATGCAATGTAGGTACTGTATGATGTACCAATAAGAGAATAACAAGAGTACAATAAGAAAAACATGTATTTATCAGACTTTGTGACACAGTTGGGAAAATAAAATAGTATGACAGATGAACCATAAGCATAAATGCTACTCTTCATAAACTATTTTAATAAGAGAAAAATAAATGACACTGGGAAGAATATACTTAATGAAAATATTTCTAGGGATAATTTAATTTTTGTTTGTTTGTTTTGGACTTTTGGTTTTGTTTTTGTCTTTCCTTGATAAATAGTTAATATTTTCCTTGAAATCTGTGGAAAATTTATACAACCAATTTAAACTCCTTGTTTAGAAGTAGACTTAAAATTTTTATAAATGAAAAAATATTTTACTTTTTACAATGTATCTACAATACTTTTTACAGTTTGCTAACATATGTATGAAATGTCACTTACAGGTGCTGACCTTAAGGAAAGGGCAAAAATGCACTCAAGTGAAGTTAGTTCTTTTGTCTCCAGAGCAAGAGCAACTATTAATGAATTGGGTAAGTAACCTCTCCTTTGAAAAATGTTGTTGTAACTTTAGCCTGAGAATGGTAGATCAGAGGAATGACATAAACATGCACAGTTAATTCTTGACAGGTAGTAGAGTATCCCTGACTGTGTAGTATTGCATCACAGATCTTGAATTGGAAAGAACCCATAAGGATTATGAAGTATATTGATACATATGAATCATGGTACATTTATTCCTTTAAAATGTTCCAAGTTGAGTTTCTTTTTTTAAAAGAAAGCTAGAGAAGGTAAATCTCAACTGAAATAGACGTGATTTGTCCTGCTGTTTTCATAAAGGATGGATTGTTCAATGACATCAATGTGCTTTAGAATTCAGGTTTTACAATTGCATTCTTGTGGTTTCTATAATTAGTACAGTCTAATATGTTTTAGAAGCATGCTAAACATCAGCTGCTAATATAAATTTAGCTACTAAGGTCTTTTAAAATTTTGTGTAATATGTTTTGGTAGTAAAAACAAAGAAGTAGTAAAACCTGTTAATACTTTTGGATTTTAATCAACTTGTACCAGTTCTTAGGGATAGTAATTTCTCTGCAGGTTTTTGTTTAGGAGTTCACCAACAAGTAATTATATTTCTACATCTCTGCTGATCAATTTAAATATAATTACTTTTCAACAGGTTATTGCCAATAAGATCTGTTGAAAAGAGAAGTGTAGTGTTCCATGTTTTAAGGAATTATTTTTCTACATTTAGCTTCTGAAATGTTTTTCAATGCATTTCTTTAAGAACGCTGTGTAACATTTTCATTTGGCAGAATGTTATGAATGGATAACACAGGTTTTTTTAGGTAAATGACAACCTGCTTAAGAATGAAACTTTGATTAGGTAATTCATGCAGATACTTATGTCCTGAAATGACTGTCATGTCTTTGAAGTGAAGTAGACACTCAGGGCTGTTTAAATAAGCGAAATCTGTAAAATACCTAGACAACGTGAATAGATCATTAATTTCCTGCAGCTGATACTATATGTCATGCTATACTTGCCCTTTGATTGGAATGCCAAGCAAGTGGCAACAAGTTGTTCCAATAATTTTCTTCATAAGAATTTTGGGTAGCTTTCTTATCATTAAGTAATAATTTTTCAGCCTTCCTTGGCTTGAAGTTACTGGAAATACTTTAAGCTACTATTTGTGTTCAAATATGAGCAACTGGTTTCAAGATTTTCTTATTATTAGTAAATAGTTTTTTTTAAATGAATTATTTTGAAATTTTTAAGTGAGAATATTTCTAAAGTCTGAAGAAATATTTGGACTTGGCATTCTTCACTGAATGACTGGAAAATGTTCAGTTATTTGATGCTTTGTTTTGCCTCAGGGTTGAAAAACCCTGAGAAAAATGTTTGATTTTTTTTTTCATCTTTATTAAAGTTGCTGTGAGAGTATTTAACTACTGAATATATAAGCAAATTTTCACTGTTATGTTAAAGGCTTGCAGTGAATTACTTACCTCAGTCAGTTTCACTAGACCATTCTCAGAGTCCCATCCAGCCTGGCATTGAATGCTTTCAGGGATTGGGTCATCCAGTAGCTTACCACTCTCACAGTGAAGAATTGCTTCCTAAAACCTACTCTCTTCCAGTCTGAATCCATTCATCTTGTCCTGTTGCTACAAACTCCTGTAAAAAGTCCCTCTCCTTCTTTCTTCTAGAAAGAAGGTACTGGAAGGCTGCATTTGTGTCACTCCAAAGTCTTCTCTTTTCCAGGCTGAACGATCCAAATTTTCTCAGCCTTCATAGGAGATGTGCTCCATCTGATTAACTTGGTGTCCCTCCTCTGGGCTCGCTCCAGAGTGCACTTGCACCAGCCAGTCAATGTCCATCCTGTGATGAGGACCCCAGAGCTGAACGCATTACCCCAGATGGGCTCTCATTATGCCATTCTCTACATCAGGAAATGGTAGACAGTATCAGAAAAATATATACTGGAGGTTAGATTGGTTGGGTGCACATGATGTCCCATTGTGTCGTGCCCTGATGAATAGAAGTGAATATTAATTTTACAGCAAGTCATTACATAATATACAGACATTGTATTTGTGTTTGGTCACTGCAATTAATCTGTAAATTGAAAATAATAATGGTATTTTTCTTGCCCAGCAACAGCTAAGATGCTGTGAGATAGTTAAAGAGGGGAAACAGTTTTCAAATTAATATTTACCTCTGCAGAATTTTTTGTAGCTAGGGAACAATATTTCCAATCTCCTATTTTGTTCTTTTTTGCTATCCGAGTTTAATACTATAATCTCATTTAAAATATATTCTACTTATTGCTTTTCAGAACTGGGTCATGTTTTGATAATTGCATTTGTATTCAGATGTGTGACCTAGTAAGGAGTTATATCTTTTTAGGTATATTTTCAGAAAGAAGACCATTAACTTACCTTTATAGACAAATTACTGTAAAGGTTAATTATGTCTTGAACGACTAGATAAACTTAACTTTTTAGAATTTACATCCTTTGGCTTTCTTTAGTTTCTGTTGATGTCATTACATTTAAAATTCTTACACTGGTTGTTCTGTAAAAAGCTATAGTATCATTTTGGTATACAGCTGCAGAAGGGAATTTTCTGGAAATTAAAAGCATACTGCACTTATTTATATGGGAATAATTTATAACTTCTTACTAAATTTGGGTGAAGAAGTAAGACTGCAGCAAATGTGATTTTGTTATTAAATAAATGCTTAAAAAATAGCTGAAAAAATTGAACAGAGCCCCATTAGTTGCGGCGCTTGGAACTTTAAGTTGGGGAGGGGGAAATGAAAACAGCCTCTGTTTTTAGCAGTGGTTGCTTTTGCTAAAATTATACCAGAATTGTGGAGTTGTTTGGGGGTTGGGTTTGTGTGTGTGGTCTGGGTTTTTTTTCTAGTTTTTTCTTTGTTATTGTTTCTTTTAATAATAAGAATTATAAGATTACTTGTCCATTACTATATTCTGCCTTGAAGCACTTTGTTACTGATGGAAGGCTGTCTTTACCCTAAAGAAACTGGGAGAGAAAAGCCTTAATAGATCTCTTGTAACTAAGCACGACAAGACAGGCCTGGCTAAATTAAGTCAAATGAGAATGATTTCCAGAAGCCTTGCTCTTGAGGCTTTGGGAAGGAAAAAACCCCATCATTATGGGTCAGATGTTCAATATGTATTTTATGGTGTGCCTCTTGTTAAATCCATGCTGTTCTTTATACTGACTGTGGGGTCAGAGCTGTGATAGTATGTATAGGTTATCTTTCAGAATTTCAGTTGCAAAACAGACTGAGGCTATGTATGGAGCTGAATGCAATAACCACACTCCTCAATAAAAACACCATATTTCATAAAATATAAAAACTGAAGATGTAGAAATAATTTTAATTCAACAAACACATGCAATTATTCAAATTGACATTTAGCTCCAAGCTCTATTAAGTGAGAAATGTCATTGACTAGCAAAACTTTTCCAAAGCATGTAGATGTAAGTTCCCAAATCCATAAACAGGGAATAAAAATTGGAAACTGACTTTCTTGGTTACTTCTAAAAATTAACATGTGGTCAGGCTTGTTTGGTGTTTTTTTCCACATTTGGAGACAAAACCCCTTACTCATGGCCTGATGGAACCTAGATCTGAAGTAACAATGACTTTTTAAATAAAATGCTAAGGTTGCTTGTTTTCTGTTAGTTTTGTTGTGTTATAACAAATTTTACAGGTCTTTGTTGAAAATATTTGATTCGTTTTTCTGCATAAGATGTGAAACAACTTTAATAAGTGGTGATATTTAGTAGCTGTTTATACATAGTTCTGTCAGATAAGGTTAGTTTTAACATACTCCACTTTGAATGAGATCATCTGGAATACAAGCACCTTGTGGTCGGTTGCTTGCATTTGTGTTTTTTATTGTATTCTTTTTATTTTATTGAGTGCAGATACAGTTGTATATTTATAGATTCTTTTTCCTTTTTCTAACATTTCTTCTGTCCTTCTGCCTTTCAGTCTTCACCAAACTTTTAATTTACTTAAAAGAACGCATTTTTTCATCCTTCAGACAAACATCCTCTTTTCAGAAAAGTTCCTAGTTTGACTATTGAAGATTGTGCATTTGTGCATTTTTTGATGTCATGTTATATGCTACAGTTTGGTTTTGGATGGAGGCTGTCAAAAATTTGTTTCAGAGGTCCCAAGAATTGTATCAAGATGACAAAATATTTCACTTGATTGCTGATCTGCTAACTGTTACCCCACCTTCCCATTGTGAAGGCTTAAAAATAATCAAGAATTATCATTGATGAGGTCCGCGCTGTGTCTTGTTTTACTGTTTGAATCTGTGAGGCTTCTGTAGATGTTTGGTTAGCATTTTAAATCCTGGTTTAGGAATGAGCACTCAAAATTTACCAAATTCATCAAATCCATCTGTGTTTGCTGGAAGTAGATCTGGCCATCAAAAATGTAGTATTCTACTTTGGAAATCCTGTGATAAGAACTATGGATTTCTCTCTTAGGGAAGGGAGATACAGACTATGAATTGTGTTCATAGGGAAGCTGAATGAAATTTCAGATAGCTATCAAATTTGAAAAAGGAAAAATTACAGCTAGCAGAGCCATGCTTAACAGCTGGCCTCAGGCATCATGCTCTTTCTGTGTTGCTGACACTGAAATATAGATTCTAGCACAGTATTTCTCTTGCTGGGCTATGATGTTGCTTGTTTGATTAAGTGTACAGCATAACTGATACAGTCCTTGAGTGCCAGCATTCTGAGTGTGTTGCTAGGCTCTTCATTGTTTTCCAATGGCAGATTTATTTCTTCTCTTGATATTGAATTAATTTAAGATAGCCTTTGAGTAAGTGTTATCTGATCCTGGTGCTGCTGTGCAGCTGTGACAAAAATCAACATAACCTCAGCAGTAGTTAAGTTTTTCTTTGGTAGTAATTCCTAATGTTGTTCTGGAGGACAAGAAAATATACTCTGGACATGGCTCTTTAAGTTTTCTTCCAC